TTTTATATTATATGTAGGCTGTTTGGGTTCTTGGCTGAATTGAGGAATTCCTGATTATGGAGCTATTGATAGTGGTGATGTGTGGACAGGAAAGCTTAGCTACATACATAGACACAGCTCAGCTCTCACAGTGAAATCACCTATCACCTCCAGGGCTAAACTCTCTGGAAAGTGTTAATTACCCTGTCCTGTATTTCACCCTGTAGGCATTCATTAGCTGCTCTTCTTACTTAGACCATGGCAGGTGGAGGCAAAGGTTCCTGTGGATGGTATAATTCAAAGAGTTGCAAAATAAAATCCACCTTTTTTAGCTCTGCAGAAGAAGCAGAACCATATCTGATTTTTACTTACTTATTTTCCAGACATCATATTAAGGGAATGTGGAAATTCACTTCCCAACTTTTCTCAGTTTCTTCCTTTAACATTCTTTCTCTTTCACAGTCAGTCTCTTTTTTGGCAACTTTTAGCATGTACCAAGATACTACAGAAACAGATTATACAGTATTTGAGAGTGAAAAACAATCATTTATTGTCTACTATACACAGCATATTGCTAAGATTACCAGACTACTACAGTGATCAATAGTATCTTCATCATGCAGTTGCATAGGGAAAAGTGAGCTTTGCTGCATTTTGTAGTAGGAAGACCCTCAATATTGCTGAGTTGGTGTCTTCTACTTGATCTCCTGTACTGGGGAAGGATGGCGAGAAAAGGATCTTGATGTCAGTATTATTACCCTTGAATCTTTTTGGAGCTGGTAACTCTCACCATTTTATCAGGTACCCTGTTGTCTGTGTTTTTACTTTTCTCATTTTTTTGTGGTTTGAAAGCACAGATTTTCTCAGACCTTAGCAACAATTTTCTCAGTAAAATTGACCCAAGGTTACACAGCTGCTTTGAATTAAAGTAGGCCTTGAATTAGAGACAGCTGAATTGGGTTGAATATGGGGCTACTTCAAAATGAACTGAGTTGGCTTTTCAGAATAATGACAACACTGAGCCTCCAAATTAGGCAATAATTCATTTACCTAAATATGAGGACATAATTTTCTATGAGATGTCCTGTTTTCTGTCCTATGCCCAGGCATATCCACCTGGTTTCTTGAAAATCTTCAACTAACAAAAATAATATAGAAAAATAGAAAAAGCTTGATTTTCCCCTAATTAATTCTTTAGAGTACTGTGCAAACTTTTTTCACATTAAGAGTAGATACATATCTTTAAAGTGTTTCCAAAAGAGTTGATTCAGCCTCATTGATTTGTTTAGGTCTGCTTACTCAAATTTTGCAGCCTTACACTCTGAAGTAATTTTCACTTTACTTAAATTCTGCAAAAAGTTTTTTTTTTTGAATGTTATAAAAATTGCTGTCAGTTTCCTTATGCTGTAATTGGATGTCACTTCCTTTTAATATCTTTGTTTACTGGAAGTATGAAACACGGTGGCAGCTTCTGCTGATAGAGTAGAAAAGTACTGAATCTGAAGGATAACACTCACTGAAACAAACACCTGCAATCTGAAAAAATCCCCACCTGTCCCTGTTACTTTCCATGTCAAGTGCATGAGCTGCAAAAACCTATCTTTTGTCTGCTCAGTTGTGGAAACGAAGCGACAAGTGTAGCATTTTACAGCTCGTAACAGTGTCAGAAGCCAAGTCAGTAAAGAGGAAAATACAGAGAGGAAAAAAATCCCTCACAATGGGCACTTCATTGAAGAGAAATAAGAAATAACAAGAAAACATCTCTGCATTGACAGCAAATACATGAAAATATCAACAGAAGAAAATATAAATATGTAAAGCTAAAACAGAAAACGATTCATAAAAGAACATGGTTTCACTGGGTGACGTGTACAAGAAAAACATAGAGACACCTAGAAAAAGAAATGTTTCTGGGAACTAGGGAAAAGTTTAGGAAAATTAAAGTCAGTCGAAGTTTAGATTAAGAGCTAGACAGAGATGGGGGAAGGGATATATGCTGAAATACTTCTGTCTTTAGCTGACTGAAAAAAAACCAAACAAACCCAGCATTCCCAGCATTCACATATGCTTCATTATTCTGAATGTCAGTTCTTCTGGGTATGGATTATCAAGATTTAAATAAAATTTTCTGTGTTGTATTGAAATCTTAGTCTTAAAGATTTTTCTTTTATTTCTGTGCTTTTGCAGAAATTCTTGAAATATTGTGCCCAAAACACAAAAAGGAACCTAGGTCCTGAGGATCAATGGAGGTGTTTCTGTCCATTTTAACAGCCTTTGAAACCCTTCTAAATTAAAATTTCTACACCGGTACAAAGGTACATAGATGATAAAATCATTGAAAAAAACCAAAACACCAATTTAAAAAATTAGTTTTTTTGAAAGAAGATTTCTGGTATTGAAACAATATCAGCAATTCAGTCTCTGATCCTTTTCACCCCAAAAAAATCTTTTACATGGTATGACCTTTGCTACTATTTTATACAAAGAATTTCAGCCTGTATTAGATTTAATAATTGGTTTTGAAGAAATGGTTCATCTAACATATTATGCTTATCTGTGATGACATTCATAGACCTGGAATCTCTAGCCTCCAGATAAGTATAAGGATTTGAAGCTGATCTGAGATTGTATAAAATGTAAGTATTAAAGAGATAGGGTAAGAGGTAACATGAAGAAATGTGTTTCTGCATATCAAGTCAGTAAAAATACAAAATTATTTTTAAAAATGCCCTTGACATCTTATCTTTCAGGAAGCTAGTGCTTGGGAATTTCTACTTTGCTTCAGAAGGACATATATTTTCAGATTTATCAAAAGAAGAGAAACAACAGGGAACCCAGTTACTGATTATTAGTAAAGATAATGAGATTATTTCATTTGATTTGCTGAGAATGTTAATGATCAGATAAGCAAAATATACTGGCAGCTAGATGCAAGAGCAAGATTTTCTTCACTGAATATAGAGAGCTATTTTGCCATAGTAATATTCTAACGAATGAGAACCATCATCTATTATATAAAAAATAATCCCCTCTCTAATCAAATGGTACATATTCTAGTAATATTCAGAAAGACAAGACTTAGGATCCTCTTCCAAGAGAAGATATATGTATTTGAGTTTCTTCATATATTCTGAAATATTTGAATCATGTTTCTCAAGTTTGCTTGCATAAGAAATTCTTCTAGGAAAAAATAAGTATAAATTTATGCTAATAACAATTCAATGAGTAAATTCTTATGACTTCTGTTATTTAAAAGCTTTGAAAGGCTAGAAGAGAAAAATCATTTTGAATTTCTGCCATTTAATAAGTCTACTTCTAGTAATCAAGTTACCTACCAAATAGAAACCCTGCAATTTATAGAAGTGTTGTTTTTTTAAACTTAGGCATCACAATGAAATCATAAAATGAAAAAGGAAAATAACTGTTATATTCTCTCTTTTGTATGGCAGAAAATATATTTATTCACTATTTAATGAAATAAAAATTAAAAAATAACATTGCAGCAAATTAAATGTTATGGCTTTTAGGTGAGTCTTTGTAGGCTCAAGAAGTAAAAGGCAACCAGATAGAAATTTGAAAAAAAAAATGTTGTTCTTGTAATAAAGTTTTGCTCCTTTCTGTTGGGAAGGAATGGTTATATCGAGTGTGAGATTTAAATTAAAACTGCACTGGGGTGTGACATATCACAATAAGGTATTGTTAGATTTGTATGTCTCTTGTATGGGTTCTGAGTGGAAGACAAGAACTGTGCCACTGGCTGTATGACCAGAAAAAGGAACTTGTAGGCCTCATTCCATGATGATGAATAGAGAATGAATTTCAGGGTTTGCCTTGAACCAAGATTGAACAACCTCCTTTCAATGAAAGAAGGGGGAGGGGCAAGACAGACAGACCAGGAAAGTGAAATTAAGTAATTTCTGGCTCTAATCCTGTTGAGTCAATGGAAATTTCCATCTGACTTAGTTAATTCATGGTTCAGCCTTTAACAGGAGACCCAAAGAATTCTCAAGCTCATTCATCCAAGCTGCCTATTTATAAAGTAATGGTTTTTTGTACGTGTAATCGAACCTGAGTATTTCCTATTGCTCCATTGTTACTCTTTCCACCTAAAGGCACAATGCCGAGGTAGACTGCACTGTCTTTTACTGACCCACAAAAATAAGAATAAAATGTTTTTAATGTAGCAAAATTGGTTTGATTTGTAAAGTCTTTGAGTTTGTTTTTTTTCAAAAATATTTCCTTGAACATATTAGGAAAGGGGGAAAGCTTACAAATGACATCAGGAAACAGATGGGAAGGGAAGAACACAACATATTGCTATTGTTCTGTTATATGAATCAGGCTAGGAAGGATTATGTCAGCTGTTAGTTCATTTAAGGAAATTGTAAAGAATTTAATTCTCGAGTGCTTCTGAGAAAAACAGCAGTTTGGGGAATCAGCCACCTACAGCATGTGCTTAACACAGTGGTAAGCATGTATTATGTACAGCTCCTTTGTACCCAATGGCAGAGGATATGAGTCTTTTCTAGCCCTTAGCTGTAGACCCAGTCCTTTCACTGAAATGGTGGAGAATTATGACATCAGGAGCAGTGGAACTCCCTAGATCACATTAAGACAGTAGCTTTGCACATATGCTCACATAAAAAGAAAGAGCAATGCACAAGAACAAAAACAGCTATCCAGTTCCAATGCAGAAATAATATCAGACATTGGGCTTTGAAAAAATGAAAACAGTAAGAAAAATTCCTTCCCTAGTCCTCAAGCCATTTGCCATGTGTTTTAAACTACCCTAGACAAGGAGACAATATGAAAAATACTGTCAGGTGTGCAGCAAACCTGTAAGAACTTTTGACATGTGGGACCACTGCCAGAAAGGTATAGCCTTTTTAAATTGTAGAAGGCACGATTTGCAAAATGAAGATATTTAAGTGTGAAAGGCAATTGAAATTAGGTTCCTAAAAGATTAGGTCTGTTATTGAACAAGACATTAAACATCATTCATGTGGAATGTGCAGAATTACCTTGAGAAAAGCAAATCACAGACAACTTGCTGTCAAACTCCAGTTTCTGACTTGCAGCTTCCATGGGAAGGCTCCTGCAACAAGACAGAAGAGAGGAGGGAGCTGGTGCTCAGTAATGTCTCACTCTCAGAATGAAAGCAGAGTTCTGAATTCCCACTAAGGTGCTTCAGCTTCCAAACTTCAGAGTCATGTTTCATGCAGTGGTGTTTAACATGCCAGCACTCAGCAAGCTGGTTGTTTTGAATACTAATTTGAGTTCCTGTATTTGGTGCAGAGTTATATCTAGGCACCTAGATCAGCACTGTATATTGAGTTTTGAATACCAACATTTTGGATGTTGCAGCCCTAAACATCACGATGTGGTCTGTTGAATCTCCCACAGAACCATTTTTCTCTAGGGAATAGAGAGAAATAGGAGATTAGGTATTTAAAAGAGTACTAGAGTATGTAAGTCACGTATTGGTAAATCTGTGCTTAAGTAATGCCAATCTTTGGTATATATAAAATATATTAGGATCAAACATCAGAATGCCTTATATATATTACAGTTCTTCTATGCATACTTTGGTCTTGTTTAAACATTCAGGATCTGCTTCATAAAAAGCCATCTTCAAATTGCGTTACCATGCTTATAACACCATCAAAAGCAGGCCTGTTATATTTTTACATGGCTTGTTTCACAGTAGAAACACATTTGAAAATATTGCCATTGTCATAACTTATATATAACATATCCTAAAAAAAGCTCCACCAACCCTGTTATTATTATTTCCAGATGAAAAGTAAGCATAAGTACATAATTCTCTCTTCCATAGTATTTTAAAGGATTTTAAAGGACAGGTAATTGTAACCCCTGTTAGAGTGTTACAGATACTTCTATTAAGATCTTTAAATATATATAGTTTTATCCATAAGCATTATTTTGGTCAAAAGAATTTTTGTAGTTTCAAACTACATAACTATATACAATGAGGTATAATGACTATAAAAATATTTTATGATGTTTAGTATTGTATTTGCTAATGAAAATCTTAACTGTAATTTTAGTTATTTTCTGTCTATCACTTAGGTAAAAAACAATCAGCACCAAACATGGTGAGTTACTGTAAGATTAACCTCCCAAGCTCATCTGTACAGTTGCACTTCCTGTTCTCAGCTATGGCAGACTCTAGTGTTTAACTTAGCATTGAAATAAAAACCTACTTCTTTCATCCTACTTGACATATTATCATGATTTAATCTGACAGGTAGCTAAACACTACATTGTTAGTCATTTACTCTCCTCCCCAGTGGGATGGGGGACAGAATTATGGAGAAAAAAGGAAGGATTTGGGGGAAGAGATAAAGGTGTTTTAAAAGGACTGAATCTGAAGGGGAAAGAATAACATTAATATTGATAGATAAAATAAAATATCCAGAACGATGCACAGCGCAATTGCTCACCACCCACCTAATGGTGCTCAGTCAGTTCTCAAGCAGCAACCCCTAGTCAGCTTTCTCCCCAGGTTATGTACTAAGAACAACACCTCTTAATATAGAATATCCCTTTGGTCAGTGGGGATCAGCTGTTCTGGCTCTGTCTCCTTCCAGCTTCTGGTAGTCTCAAGGCTGTTCTCTGGTGGAGTGGTGTGGAGAGAAGAAAAGGTCTTGGTTTAATGTAAGCACCACTTAACAAAAACTAAAACATTAGTGTGTTATCAACACTATACTCATCTTCAGTCTAAAACTCAGCATCTTGCTTTACTAGGAAGAAAACTAACTCTATTCCAGCTTAAACCAGAATACATCTAATTTTGCATAAGAAAAACCTCAAAACTGCACTGTTCCCATATGTTCTCAGTGAACAATATAGATGTTGTGACTGCAAAACACTGCAGTGTTAGGGGTAACTCAAAATACTGGTAGTTGAAATCCAGAGTAAGATTTCCAAGGGTTTGCTCATGGAAAAATTAGTGCTTGCACTAATTTGGTGATTGTGCATCCTTAAATAGAAAGTTTTTTCTTTTTTTTTTTATTAAAAGAACAAGTCAGGAGGAGAATCTCAATCTTTTTTTTGTTTTTTTTTTTGGTATAAACAGCTTAACACATGATCTGGAGCTTACAGAAACACTTTCATGAACTTTTTATACAAAATGGACAAAAACCACTATATCAAGCTATTTCTCCTTGACTTGTTGGTTTTACAATGTTTTCAGTATGACATTGCAAAATACAGTTTTTCAGCTGTCATGTTAGACAAGTTTTCCTGCAGAATCTAGGTATATATACATTACTATTGCAGACAGTAACAAGTGCATGCAGAGCAATTGAGCAGGAAACATCTATTATGCAGAGTGTAGGCACTGTATTTTCAGTAGCCAACTGCTGCTTATCTACTTTAGCAATAACACTTTGATGCTACTAAATAATAGATTTTCATGCACCAAAGTGTTGACTGATAAACCAGATTGTTTAATTGTCAAGTCACTCTCTGGCCCTCTTGTGGACAATCTTCAGTTAATTCTTTTCAGGTATTTAAATCCAGGGATGACTCCTATAGATAACAGGCAAAAAATGTTCAAGGATTGGCTCCCTTCACTCCACATATGCCTCTAACTTTCACACAAAGAGCACTGCACCCTGTACTACCACTACTTGTCCTCCTGAAACAAAAAAAATATGAAATGTGCTCAGTTTCACACCAGGAAGGACACAATCAGCTGAGCTTTTCCAGTTTTTAAGCATTTTGACTAGGGAAAAAAAAAAAAAAAAACAAATGAAAAACAGAAATAAAAAACCTTTAGGAAAATAATTCTATCTTAAAATCTTCAATCTGGTGTACAGGGAGCTGGCCCTAATGAGGGGGAGATACCATTCTATTTATCAATACATAAAACTATAATGTGCTATAATGAGATTTCCTTTCATCTGATTAGCAATGAAAATTCCTGGTAATCACTCTTACCCATGATGCAACCATAATTTTTGTGCTTTCAGTAGAAAGAAATAAATAGAATACAACTAAAACAGACATCTGTTACTTTTTTTCCCCCTGAAGTTGCACCAAACACACTCCAGTATGCTATGGTGCATATTATACTAACAGAGCTATAATTCTTCATTTTCCTGGAAGAGTATTTTGTTTATTTAGACTTTTTTCCTGGCTGTATATAAAGACAGTATTAGATTGCAAAAAGTACAGTGTAAATGAATTTTCTCTTTAAAAGGATTTTTCTTTTGTTAGCTTTTTAAATGTTAGTCTACTGCTCTTGTAAAGACCATTCCTTGTTGCAATCATATTTAATTATTTTCAGTGTGAAAGGCTGATTTATCTTTCTGTAATGAAGAAGGTAGATGCATTACTCAATTCAACCTTTATGTCTGAAGTAGCCATAGCTTAGTTAGAGATGCAGACACTTGACTATAGAACAATTGTTCATCAATTCAGTTGTCTTGGTGTTTGAACTAAAGACATCTTGTAGGCCTATAAAGTGGAAAAGGAGAAAGACTAGTGATATATGGCTCAAACTTGCTAACCAGTGCAACGCTTACAAGAAAATAAATCAGAAGTGGAAAAGCTGTTCTTAGGTACTCAATATTTCCTCCACCACTGGTTTTTCCTGCCGATAGCTCTGTACTTTGACCTCAAGTCTTTCAAAATATGCTAAGGGGAAATAAAAAAAAAAAAAAGGCAGTTTGACTTCTGGGAGAAATAAAAGAAAGGGAAAGATGAAAAAACCAGGAGGGAGGAAGGAAAAAAGACACACATGCCTGTATGTAACTATTCAGGCTTTTTAAAAAAATACACTAAAGTTCTAAGACAAATACTTCCTTGGAAGCTGAAGCTTGTAGCTCCTTTAACAAAGTCATTTTTGCCATTTTTGGTGAAGATTTGAAAACTGGAAAGAAGAGTGCATTTTATATAGAATGATACAGGCATCAACAAATAAACTGAGGAAAACTTAAAATGAATATGAATATACTTCCTGTGAAGTAAATTACATTATACAAATCATAAAATGCAAAGGAAATATTATCATCAAGACACCATACCAAATCTGTGGGAAAATGTAATTTTTATCAACATTCAAATGACTGCAATAAGTTTAATCTCTAACTATTTTTATATTCTGATAGCAATTAATAACCCTGTAATAGATTGTGATCATTCAGTACTAAGGTACAATTTACTATCCAGATCTAAAATTACCTTACTAATTAATTCTGTACAGAATTTTATCAATTTCTTTGCCCTGAGTCTTAGAACTGGTGAGGTGGCACAAAGCAGTCACTCAAGATATGGATTGTCATGTTCAAAATGTATGTACTCTCACTCAGCTCAAGGGAATGAGTGAACCCATGTCAGTGTGAAGAGTACACAGGAGGAAAGAAATGAGCATGTTCTTAAAATTTGGAAATAAAGAACATTTAACTCCTGATTATCAATGCTGATAAAAAATACTAACCCTGCAGCAGCTTTGAACTCTCAGGGCACGATGCATGGGAAAAATTGGTGGCTGAACACTCTATATTATAAAATTAAGAAAATACAACCAGTTCCCTACTGTGCCAACCAGACCACAGAAACAAGAGTATATCCTTTTTTTTTTCCTTTTATTCAATTCAATTCAGGCTTCCAACTTAGTTAAAATAAAGGAAAGTGATTAGATATAACAGATGAATTCTTTATTTTCAAAAGCTCTTTATATTTTCCTCTTCTTTAACACATACAATATTCTATGGCTATTTCAGTGGCAGGGACAGCACTCAAAGCCATCTAATTACATACAGATTGCTCCATGATAATTCTGTTGCAATGGATATATATCACTTGCTTTAAAATTGCAGAAATATTCCCTAACTTGCCTTGCATTCCTTACCAGACTCAACTTCACTTTGATTTAGTTACCCGGACTTATTTTTAGGATCTCTGGGAATAGATGCACTCCTGCTGAAGCCCCCAGTCCTAACAGAACACACTGGATGAACATAAAATGAAGGGAGGGATGGTTTCCTGAAAGGCAATGTCTTCCATTCCTGCTGAATACACATCACAATTGCCTTTAGTAACTGAGTTAATAAACTTTTGCATTAACTCCTTCCGTCTGGAACTAAGCTGCTTGGCTTCACTTTAGAAATGGCTGTTCAATATTACTTGCAGAGGCTTTTTACTGCCATATTCTTTCTCATTATCTGCCTACCCCTACTTTTTTTCTGTTTTTCATCTGCCTGTCTCTTCACAATAGAATCTGAAAATTCTGGGGTGATCTTTTCTCTGTAGAGTGAGCCTTCAAATCTCTGATTACAAAGAGAAGTGTGTCTCCTAGTCCTGGTTACCGTCATGTAAACCCACTGCAGATCACTGAGAAAACTGAGGGCTTGCTGTTCTCACAAATTCCCTTGACACAAAGTCCTGCTGGGCCAGTAATGCATTTTCTGGTATCTTGCACTGTTCTTAGTATCAGAGAATGGACTTAAAGACAAAAATGTATTTCACATAACAGGGTGCATAAGTGAAGACAGATTTTATGTAAATTAAGTTTAAAAGCCTACAGACTTAATTGCTTGAAGTGATTTCTTACCAAGGAAGTGTAAGAGAATTGGCATTGTTAAGCCTGTAGAAGAGAAGGCTTTGGGGAGACCTAATTTCAGCTTTCCAGCACCTAAAGGGAACCTGCAAAAAAGATGGAGAAAGACTTTTTACAAAGACGTGTAGTGATACAAAAAGGGAAAATGGATTCAAACTGAAAGAGAATAGGTTTAGATTAGATGTTAGGAAGAAATTCTTTCCTGTGACAGTGGTGAGGCACTGGCACATGTTGTCCAGAGTAGCTCTGAATGCCCCATCCCTGTGAATGATCACGGCCAGGTTGGATGGGACTTTTTGAGCTACCTATTCTAGAAGAAGATGCTCCTGCTCAGGACTGGGGAGGTTTGATGATCTCTAAGGTGCCTTCCTAACCAGGCCATTCTATGGTTCTACGACTTTATGATTATGAAAGCTGGTAGAGTGTAATATGCATGAAGACATTTCTCCTGCCTCTTGACAATTGAATTTTGATTAGCTAGGATTACTCTAGTGCTGTGCATGTCAACTAGGAATAAAATGATTGTTAGCACTGGAGAATAATCTGCTACTAAGAAGACTTAATGTGCAATAGCCTGTGTGGCATGGATGCAAATTTTGGATGTTCTAATATGTAAAATGGGCTTAAGGGCTTTGCAGTATGTCTGTATAGACATATTCCTCCAACCAGTATTGGAGCTTAGCATCAGTAATGCAGTACATTCAGCAGTTGAGGATTTTTACCATTTTCTGTGAATGTTCAGTCACACAGTACTATTAATATTTTATGACTCTACATTCATATAATTTTATTCTGTAACTTGACCTTGGGAATGTTTATATTTTGAGTAATGTTTTTGAAAGGTACACAATATGTGGAAACCAAATAAATCCAAGGATTTAAAGTTGTTCCCTTTGACCATGGCACCCAGAAGTATTTGAAACAACTGCCTTGATTAAAGCCAGTATAAAAGAGGAATTCACAAATTAAGTCTGTTGTTGCACAGCTGTTTCTCAAGATGCTGCTATTCACCTTAGTTTAATAAATTTGGAAACCTCTTGTGTCCTGTCACTACCTAAGTACTCTCATTTTTAACTGCAGACAAAAAGTTTCCCATCTGGCCCTCTATACTTTAAAACAAGTGACCATGACACTATTTTTTTTTAATAATTATCCTAAGAGGGATAAGGCCACTGAATTGGTTTTTACAGTGTAAAAGAAACACTAGGATTACACACACATTCAAAGTCCTTCCATCTCAGGAGGAAGACAGCTTTTTGAGGTAGTATTCAGCTGAAAAAGCTACTAGGAGCACCGACTGCTAAGAGACTGGAATGTAATTGGAATGTTACCTTGATTAGCAGCACTGAAATCAACCAGTAACTTAGACACAAATGTAATTAATTCAAAAATTAATGAAATTAATGAAAAATAAATTTTGCTTCTTCTCTCTCACATACAGCTGAATTTTGTTCATTGAACTCACATTTTTTACTTATGAAAGTGCTGTAGGTTTTCACGGATTGTTCCCAGTCCAAGGGACAAGTGTGGCCCACAGTTCTTGTTGGACCTTGCAGTCCTCACCTCTGCTGTCTCTAGTGTGGATACAGACAAAGCAGACATCATGTCACCATGCTACTCCTGCACAGGAGCAGCCTGACCAGCAAGGTGACTCAGTGATGACTAAACACCTCAGCAGTTTTTTTCTCACGTCTGCATTTACTCAAACTTTCAGAACTACGAGTACACTATGAGGCAAACATCGTTGAGTTCCAGGAGGCATAAACATTGTTGCTAAACCCACAATGAAATCCCACCACTAAAATAATAAAATTAAATATGTGTTTGAAAACTTAAAGTTCAAAAATACCGTATCAGCAGGTTTCAAAAACCTAGCTCATAACAATTCTAAAATTTTTCTCTCTAAAACAGGAAAACAGTAGATATGTACAATTTTAATGAGATATGATTACCTTTTCAGTTTCAGTGGTTAATCTTCTATTGAGCAGAAACCACAGATGTCCACCTCACTCCTTCTTGACATATTTTGTTTCATTTTAGCACATTAACTGTCTCAAAGTGTCCTGCTCTGGAAATCTGAAGATTGGTGACTTGCTTTTGTTTTTATTGCCAAATGTACTATAGATTTAGTCTTGCATCCCTTCTCACCTGTGCTAGGACATAAAATAGAATCAAAAATCTTCACCATTCCTTGTGCAGACCTCCTATGGAAGATAGGAACAGTTTTTGTTTCCAATCTACTCTTGATTTGATTTTCACACTCTGTTTTAGAGAACAGCATCATTAGCCTTCCTATTTTTTTTTTTTTAATCTCATCTATAGGGGACAATATGTTGAATGTGCAGATAGGTTTCTGCTGACCCCACCTAAAACAAAGCCAAAAAGAAGACATCATTCATCTCTGAGTTAAAAAGCATCCATACTGCTTTCTACCTTCTTTTCAGGAATTGGGTTATATGCATTGACTATTGCAGGGTAAGGAAGGAAAAACAAGTAAAGAAAGGCAAGGCAAGACAAAACCATACAAGCTCAAAAGTCTTCATTTGGCTACAAATTATGAAATTTTTGTTTGTTTATTTGTTTGTTTTGGGGTTTTGGGGTTTTTTTGTTTGTTTTTTTTTATTTATTTTGGGTGTTTTTTTTTTTTTTTTTTTTTTTGCTTCCTTGTTCCTTCCATTCTCTCTCTCCTATTTTATTTTAGTGGTGTCAAGGCAACTCAGAAGAATTAGAACAATACATGAAGATATAAGAAATCAAACTTCTTTTCTCAAAAAAAAAGCAAAGCCTGAGAGGATGGATTTAAATCTTGACTGAGAATGTGATGTACTTGGAGATTGTAGGAACTGTAGGAACAGTGGCATTTCCTTGTAGTGGGCAGGTTCAGTGCAGAATGACTACAGCTATGAGACAAAAATGCAGAAATGTGTCTGTTAAATAAGCAAAAAGTTTGGACTCCCTGTACGGTCACCCTTGACATCAAATCATTTTTGGAATAACAAATTCACTATGAGAACTGACTTTTAAATAGATGTAAGATTCTCATTTCTTTGGAGAATAAATATCAGCAAAACAGCAAATGAAGAAAATTTTTCACTATCATCTATCTATCTATCTATCTATCTATCTATCTATCTATCATCTCTATCTATCCTAATTTGAAAATGTTGGGCTTTGTCTGTGTTTTGTTCTGGTTTTAACAAAAATTTTGTGAAAAAAGTAGCGTTCTGCCTGAGCACAGTCTGCTTTTTGTAATGTAATAGAAGTATTTGGCTTTTATTTATAAATGGTTGGTCCTAAATAATTCAAATAAGTATTTAAGAAAATATTTTCATTTCCAAGCTCAGCTTTTAAATTTTGTTGCTACTGATGAGAGCAATATGCATGGATGAAAATAAAAATTAACTTTTTTTAATGTTAAATCTCATTGTTGATATTTTTATGTGTGAAAAAAATATCTTTCATTCTAGAGTTTAATACTCATAGTGCAAAGAAGATGAGTCAGAAATCTAGCTTGTCTCTCTGAAGGATTAATAGTGTGTATTTGTGTTGTATTCATTAATGCACTCCAAGACACCTCTTCAAAACTAGACCAAATAAAATTCATTTAATTTCACTTGACTAAAAAAGATGCATTTATTTTCCTGAAGGAAAGACTTGTCATACATTCATATGTTCCCATCCTTCCCCTAGAGAACACATATGTCACCTCCATGCTGCCTCAGCCCTCTGAGGGAATAATAATTTTTAATAAGACTGCTATAAAAAGACAGTTAATTTGCATGTGAAATGCCCTGTTATGAGAGCAATTATAAAGAACAACCATGATTACAGATATCAAAGCAAACAACCCTGAAAACAATTTTATTGTCAAGACAACGCCATCAGAACACTACCAGGTAAACATGGTATATCAATTGTTTACTCATGAGACAGAACACAATCAAAACCAATCGCTACAGTAGTGGAAACACTGTAGAACCAAATGTCCTTTGAAGAAAATAAAACTGACATATTTGGAGAAAAATAAACCATACTTGTATTGTTTTACCTTTCTTCAGACGCTTTAATTCCCTTTTTGTTCCAGAAAATATTGCTGGATCAGATATGGGCAATTATACAATTATATCCCACTTGTGAAATCAGAAGTTTACTATATATATATATATATATATATATATATTTCGTGTTTAGAACTGGATGATGTGTGTTTATTTCATTATGTTCTCCCCCAAAGGAAAGGGCACAAAGGCAAAATATTGCTTTTACTGGTGGTGGATGAACACAGTTTTATATTTTGGATTATTGGCACTTGTCACCACAGAGTTAAATGTCACAACCTCTGTCTAGAAGGAAATAGTAGAAGATGAAGTAGTACCTCATAAACCATGCTTGCCTGTCAAACACAGATAGCAATACCTGTCAATAGTAAATTAGAGTCTATTAAAAGAATAGTATTATAACTGAATTGTGTGGATTTAGAACACTACTAATTACATATTTTTCCATAAAATGTACAATTACAACTTCCTGACATAGTGTCCACTTGGAAAAGCGTTCACTAGATATGATTATACTTATTGGAAAACATTTAGATAGGAAGATTTTGACTGAGACACTTTCAAAGGCACTGACCTTTTCCCACTGAGGAAATGTAGGCTTATTTCATAATAAACAGCCTACTAAATGCACATAATCTAGGCTCATTAGGAGTCTTTAGTTCATGTCTTACAAAGTGCTGCTAATTTCCTAAAAAGAAGCAATACGCTGTCTAAATCAAAGTCTCTGTCACCAGGGTACTTCTTTAAATCCTAACACATGTTTTTTATTAACTCAATAGCTGAACTGCATAGGCAGTTACCTTAAGATAGATATGCTAAAGATTTATAATAACACATAATCTTTTAGATTAAATTGCCTCAGTTCTGCAGAATAGCTGTGCAGATACTTCACAAAGAAGCAAGGCACTGTTTGTCAGTCAGATGTGCACTTCTCACACTATAAAACCCACACTGGATATTTGCTGACATGAACCTGTACATCTCCCTGGTAAGATTTTCCTGACATCTTTTTCTTGTAGTCATTTTGA